AATACTTGCTACTATTATCTAGTTGCTAGGAGTGGAATTCCCTTTTTATTATCCTAGGTTACCTTTTGACTGTCACCTTCCTTTGTAATTGTTGCCCCAGTAAACTGCAGCCACAAGAGAGAAGTATGTGTAGTGCAGAATGCAGATGCTTACCATATTGATTAGCATAAACAAAAGAAGTGAAGGTTTCAGCCCTGTGGGTTGAGTTTGTTGATGTGTGATCCAAATTTAGTTCCTCCTGGCAATGATTGCTCCTACCAAAATGATAAGGAGTTCTTTGATGAGTAACTCAATCTTCAATGGGACATGCTGGCAAAATTCCCGGTAATGTTCCTGGAAATATAAAACACTACAAGTCTCAGCAGAGTTGGCTCAGACAGGTTACCCCTTAGTTCTCAGGGTGTATAACAGCTTGGAATAATGACAGAAGTACATTTTCCTACTCAGAGGGTCTGTGTTCTGTCTCTTTAATGCACTTGAGTCGAGAAATAAAAATGTCATTGGTCCACCAGGGCCAGTTTGGCCTTGACATTCCTCAGGTGTAGTCTCAATTTCTAGTTCATTAACTGCTCGCCACACTACTGTTGCTGCTTTGCTTACCTTTTCAGAGGGGCTGCTGGTGCTGGTATCTCCTGCAATTAGAATATTACATCATTGCATGTCCAGAGAAAGTGAGACTGTCTTTAAAAGTTTGGCAAGCACAGCCTGTACAATCATGCGGAAGTGTTTATACTCTTGTAAGAGTCAGATAAAGGTGTATTGTCTACTCTTCCAGGCAATTGCAAAATGAGCCTTGCTATGTTCCTGGCATGGCATCATAAAAAAACCCATTTATTTTACATCCAGGGTTGCTACACACGAGTGGGAGACTCTCTAAATTTGAGTTACCAGTTCTGCAGAATTTAGCACAGCAGAAAGGGATCGCTATAGCATGCCGCTCCTCTGAGCTCCCAGCTCTCCTGTAGCCTGGAGGTCATGAGGAACAGCCTTTGGTGCTTGAACCGCAGAAATTTGGAACTACAAAGACAGTTGACATTTTCTGCACTGTCTTTTCTGGAAAACATGAAGAGTGTTTGGTCTGGGAGAGAGGGGCAGTGAGGGATGGAAGGCTGGGAAAAGAAAAACTGTAAACCTGACACTGCTTTCCAGGTAGACAAGTACAAGGACTGATAGCACCGCCCATTGTTCTCTGAGGGCAAAAACAGTGGGAGAATGAGGATGTTCCTGCTGAAACAGATAGGAAGCAGAAGACAACTTTGAATTTTCTCAAGAAAAATGGTATTACTAGTTGTGCTTAGAGATTTAAAAGAAATACTCTAAAAATAGAGACATCCAATGTCCTTGGTAGGTATCTCAGAAAATTAAACACACGGAGGTTATTATGGTGATTTCCTTAATGTTAGCATCATCAGATGATGTCTGGATGAGGTCCCACAACAACAACCAGGGTTCAACAAATTCTAGCAATCACCATGTGTGCTCACAGAGATGAGACAGATCCCAGGTCAAGTTGGGAAGTTACATGCGTATCAAAGTCCAGATTCAGTGCAATGGGGTCCTGGTCAGATACAGGCACAGATGTGTCACAGCTAGAGATCTAACTCAGATTACAAGCACGAGGACCTCATCTTGAAAGCTGCCCCAATAGGAAGAGGAGGTGGTTCTGGCTGAAGCCTCCCAGCAGAACTGCCTGGCAGATTCCAGCAAGGCCATCAGAGGGAAGGGAGAAGCACTCAGCTATGCAACTCTTATGATGGCTTGGTCCAGCTGTCCTACATACCTCAGCAGAGCAACACCTGAACGTAGGTCAGGTCCAAGACCCATTTGCTGGGAGGTCTCAGCACTGCCTCACTCAGCACTGGGCTGCTGAACTATAGAAGTGCATCAGGCACTGGCCTGGACACGGGGACCCTGTGTCCCTTCCCCGTCACGAGCAACATTATACCAGAAGGGATCTATTAGGGATTTATATCCTGAAGGAGTGGACAGACATTCTTGGCGTTCTATCTAAACATAAAGCAAAAAATGGAGGGTGCAGGAGGCACAGGCTGCATTTCAGTTCTCTGGACACTTCTCTGCAAGGCTGAAGACAGCACTGTTCAGCTGTAAATTGTCTCCTTCTGGCAACACTGTGGGGCTTAAGGACACAACAAGGGAGAGTCCTCCACCATGATCTGCACATACTTTCAGGACAAAGACCTCACAAGCCCACACTGACATGTGTGCTCTGCATGGAACCCTCACACTGGCAGAACAGACTCAAGTGCACCACCAAAAGACAGAGGACCTACAGAGAGTGCACAGAGATGACATGAGATGACATGAGGCCAATGAGACTGCACAATTTTTCTGAGTACTTTTAGGACGGCACTAGAGTGAAATACACCCAACAGAAGCCCACCTGAGTATAACACTGAGTATTGATGACAGAGTGATGAAGGAATCAAAAGAAAAAATGTGTCATGTCACACGCAGACCTTGGGCATGTGGACAGGAAGCATGAGAGCAGGACTGATTTCTGGCCACCAAAGGAGTCCAGAGGAATGAGACAGGTACAAATCACCTGCTTGCATAGGATACCAACAGCCCTTGATCTAAACCTTCTTTGTCCACTGATGTCTTTCTGCCCTGAAATCCTTGATGCTGTCATCCTGGCACTTTGAGAAATGACCCTTCATATAGGAAAGCATGTGGCAGAGGCCAGGAAATGACAAGGCAGCAGTGCAGGAAACCAGGACAAAGCCCCTACCATTAGCTGGGATCTGGTCAGAAAATTATGCCTTCCACAAAGGTGCCTCTGGGCCTGAGGTAGTGCAGGACTGCTATAAAAGGCAGCCCAAGTTTCTGCTCTCTCATCCGCTTCTCTCACCTCCTTCTTCTCAGGAATCGTCAGGTGAGTGGGAAACCTCTTCTCCTCCTCCTGCATCAAGAGCAGCTCTTTCCTGGCTGTAGGTCTCAGCTGAGACGGGATTTGGGAGCACAGGGCTGGGAGCTGCTTCTGCTGGGAGAGGGCAGGGGAGACAAGGTCTCGTGCAGACAGAGAGAGGCTGGCACTTGGATGAGAGGGGCTCCTGGGCTTTGAGCTGGGCACTGCAATGTGGGCCAGGAGCTGCCTTGGCTGCAGGGTGTTTGGGTGCAGTGCTGCTTCTCATGTGTCCCCATTTTCTCCTTCTGCCTGCCCTCTGCACCAGGTGCACCTGTGACCCCGAGCCATGTCCTGCTGTCGGCCCTGCGACCCTTGCTGCCAGCCCTGCGGCCCCTGCCCGCTGGCCAGCAGCTGCAATGAGTGCTGTGTCAGGCAGTGCCAGAGCTCCCATGTCGTCATTGAGCCGCCTGCTGTGCTGGTGACCCTGCCCGGCCCCGTCCTCAGCTCCTTCCCACAGAACACCGCCGTGGGATCCTCCACCTCTGCTGCCGTTGGCAACATCCTCAGCTGTGGTGGAGTGCCCATCAGCTCTGGGGGCTTTGACATCTCCTGCATCACCAACTGCTTTGGTGGCAGCAGATGTCGTCCCTGCTAAATCTGCTGGCAACATCCTCAGGCAAGAACCTCCATGACCTCACAACGTGGTTCTGGGCAGAACATGATTCTGGTCAGGAAACAGAGCTTTTGGACATTCTATTTACAGCTTTAGGATGATGTTTCTTTCTCCTACTATTCCATCTTCTTTCTGTGCTGTCCATTTGTCCCCAGGCCAGCCCAGGGGAGCCTGTTGCCGTCCCTTCCTCTTTAAGGTAGACAGATGGTCACCCTGGAGGAGCTTCACTGCATCTTAGGGGCTGCTTCTGCTGCTTTCTGTGAGCTATGTCCTCTTCTTTAGACTCAATAAAATACTTTTGCATCCAAGCCTTGGCCTCTGAGTCATCCTTCATTTTCTGGCAAACCTTTCATATTGCTTAGGGAAAATGGTGGAGAAAGAACAGGGTTCAATTCCCTTAAAGCTGACAAAGTCATCCCTGGGTATGCCAGCCAGTAGACAAGATCATCAGGAGAACCATGGCTCCAAAGTTTGGCAACAGCTGTGAAGGGAAACAACAATGTCTGGGTACAGCCTACAAGCTCACCTTTTCCTTCCCCTTCCCTCCATTGCCTGGTCTACAGTCCATGGCAAGCACACGAGCACAAGTAGATTGGATACACTCCCTCAGCACAGGTAGGACCCAGCTGGTATCCAGACATGCAGAGCTGAGGTAATTCACAATCAGCCATACTTGGCTGATACTCATTTACATACTCATTTACCACTTGCAGTGGTAAATGACTTTCATCTGAATATGTCTTCTGGCTTTATTATAAATTTGTAACAATTCTCACGTGTATGAATGTATGTAATCTGTCCATCAGGTTCTTCCTGTGATGCCTTGAGAGGCTGACCTTGAACAGAGGCTAGACAGAGTTAAAGAATAAAGTAGGTATTCATTAAAAGGCATTAATGGATACATGTTGGGCAGTACGAGAGTCTGGCCAGGGCTATACTGAAGAGGAACCCAAAATAGTCACAAAACTGATGACCGGTCACGAGGTCTCATACTGTCATAAATTTTGGTCCTTTGCATATTGGGATTAATTGTCCAATTACAGCTTCAGATTATAAAGTCCCATCCTTCTTGTTTTCCCTCTACAGTCCACTGTTGTCTATGCTTTTGGGCCTGAAACTTGTAACAGTTGTCCTTGGTCTCAAGCTGAAAAAGGATTGTTTTGTCTCCTTATTCTGTGAAGAGAGCTTAATAACACTTAATATGAAGCTCAGAACTACACACCTGGGCAGCACATAATCTGAAAAATATGAAAGCTAAAACTTAAGGCATCACCTGGATGAGGCCTTTGACCAAACCAGTGCTCACTGCTGCTGGGTCAACCTTTGGCTGGCAGTCCACGCTCACTTTGTGACCTCACTCCTGTGTTTGCACCATACTGTGTTGTACTTGTCTCCAGGAGAGAGAACAAGGACGCTTGTTGCAAAAATGGGCTGCCTACCTCTGTATGGCCTCTTCTTCAGCCACAGCCTGTTTTTTCTCACAGTGCCTTCTTATCAACAGTCCTTGGTTGGCTCCATGGATATCTGGTTATTGGTGTTTGAGACATCATCTTAGCATTTTATCATCTTATCATCTTATCACCGGTGGCTCAAACATCAGTATGGACTTGGACTGAAAAAGGAGAACTAGAGAGAGAGAGAAAATAGAAAAGCTCTATAAGCTGTCTCTGAATTTGGAGGTTAGTATCTTTACAATCCCCTACATTTTAATATACAATCTTATTACAAAAATAAAAGACAAAAATATTAACATCAGAAGGACAATCACAGGGTACAATGTGTTATTAGGAGCTTCAGTTGCTCTTGGTGACTACCCAGTTTAAATGTCCCAACAAAGATGTCCTCTGTCTTTCTTTGAATTTTCCATCACCCAGTGGATTTTTCTCCATCAGGATGAATGGTAATCAAAATTTTCTGTCTGTTTTCCCAAGCTTCCTTCAATAGCATTTTTCACATCCAAGTGAGATTCATTCAGTAGGAATAGGTTGCTGGTCATAAGTCAGTGTATAATTAAATCATAACAATTGGTAAGACATAACAGGAGCTGAATAACTAAAATCATATCCCATAATGTCAACAAAGTTACAAGCAAAAATATTAGGGTACTTGTATGTACAATAATGTTGTCTACAAATACAAAGTCACAAGGGGTTCTTGCACAAGCACATCCATTCCATCAGGACCATACTCTGTACTCTAGGGACTAGAGTGCATCTCCATTGGGATTTAATGCAGACACAATGATTGGGTACATGGTATATACTGAAGCACCGTGCACTGTTGAAACAAGAAGTGTGGTTTATGGTTTGTGGGATCATAAAGGAAAATTAATACTTGCTACTATTATCTAGTTGCTAGGAGTGGAATTCCCTTTTTATTATCCTAGGTTACCTTTTGACTGTCACCTTCCTTTGTAATTGTTGCCCCAGTAAACTGCAGCCACAAGAGAGAAGTATGTGTAGTGCAGAATGCAGATGCTTACCATATTGATTAGCATAAACAAAAGAAGTGAAGGTTTCAGCCCTGTGGGTTGAGTTTGTTGATGTGTGATCCAAATTTAGTTCCTCCTGGCAATGATTGCTCCTACCAAAATGATAAGGAGTTCTTTGATAAGTAACTCAATCTTCAATGGGACATGCTGGCAAAATTCCCGGTAATGTTCCTGGAAATATAAAACACTACAAGTCTCAGCAGAGTTGGCTCAGACAGGTTACCCCTTAGTTCTCAGGGTGTATAACAGCTTGGAATAATGACAGAAGTACATTTTCCTACTCAGAGGGTCTGTGTTCTGTCTCTTTAATGCACTTGAGTCGAGAAATAAAAATGTCATTGGTCCACCAGGGCCAGTTTGGCCTTGACATTCCTCAGGTGTAGTCTCAATTTCTAGTTCATTAACTGCTCGCCACACTACTGTTGCTGCTTTGCTTACCTTTTCAGAGGGGCTGCTGGTGCTGGTATCTCCTGCAATTAGAATATTACATCATTGCATGTCCAGAGAAAGTGAGACTGTCTTTAAAAGTTTGGCAAGCACAGCCTGTACAATCATGCGGAAGTGTTTATACTCTTGTAAGAGTCAGATAAAGGTGTATTGTCTACTCTTCCAGGCAATTGCAAAATGAGCCTTGCTATGTTCCTGGCATGGCATCATAAAAAAACCCATTTATTTTACATCCAGGGTTGCTACACACGAGTGGGAGACTCTCTAAATTTGAGTTACCAGTTCTGCAGAATTTAGCACAGCAGCAGTTAAAGGCAATCAATTGCCTGAAATAAACTGTATGACTCTCTTCAGTTCTTCCTGGAGCCAGAAAGGAGAATTATATTAGGAGTGTGATTGAGTCTTTTCTCCTGGTTTGCTGCCACCCTATAAATGCCTAAGCACAGGGAAAATACAAAACCACCCCCTCTCTATCTTCTCTACTTCTGGGGCTGCCCAGCCCTGCCATTTTCTGCCCCTACTTTGGAAGTTTTTGCTACATTTTATTTTGACTCCCCACATCCACCTTGACCCCCGCTACTCCTGCTACAGCTTTGGGGTTTTTTACTATGCTTCGTTTGCCTCCCTGAGGCTGCTCACCTCTGCAGTTCCAGCTCACCACTCTGCAGCTCCTGCTACAGCACATTTCACCACCCATGGTGGCACTGAGACCGGCTGCTCCCCGAGAGTTTTGCAAAGGGAGCCACCTCCCCTCTCCTCTATCGCCTGAGCCGCCATCACTGCCTGAGGGAGACGCGGCCGAGCCCTCCCCACAGCGCCCCCTGCAGGCGCGGGGGAATCACCGCACCCACCCTGCCCGGCCGGGAGCCACCAGCGCCCCTGCCGGCCGTGCCCAGAACTGCAGCCAAGGGGAAAGCGCCTGCGGCCGAGACAAGGCTGGCCCTGGTGTCTGGTTCTGTTTGGTGCTGCTGCCGGGGTGTTTGAGTTGTTATACAGACCAGTAAAGAACTGTTGTTCCTTTTCCCATTTCTTTATCTCAAAGCCCCATAATTTGAAAGTTATAATAATTCAGAGGGAAGGGTTTCATATTCTCCATTTCTTGAAGGTTCCTGCCTTCCTTGGCAGACACCTGAGTTTTAAACAAAGACAATTGTCAATATATAGTAGAGTGAAAGAAAAGCAAGAGAGAGGCATTAAATGAGAGAAAGAAAGGAAGATAGATCACCAGTCCTGGCTTGAGCATTGACTCATCTGATGGAGTATCCAAGCAGAACAAGGACATTTGTCCTGGAAAAGTGCTGTCCTACCTCCACATGGCCACTTATCTAGCCACATCCCATTTGTTCTCACAGCGTCTTCTTACCAAGAACCCTCAGGTGGCTCCACAGCCATCAAGCTGTGGGTTTGAGACATGCACGAGAGCCCCTCATCTTCTAATGCTCCTACACCAGTGCTCAGTGAGATGGACACAGATGGTGTCTGAACCATGAACTCTGGGCAGGAAGAGCATAGGGAGAACTAAACAAAGTCCATGGGGCATTGTGTGCCTGAGCTGTTATTTTGCTGTGCCTTCAGGACTTCCTGAAGATGATGTGAGAAAAAACAGGATGTGGCTGCAGAAGGGGCCATAAGAGGTAGGACAGCACTTTTCTGGAACAAACAACCTTGATGTAGTTCCTGAAGAGAAGCACAATACAGGATAGCACGAGGAAACAAATGAGGTTGCAAAATGTACATGGACTGTAGGGGAGGGATCAAGGTCACCAAAGACCCCTGAAGCCTCCAACCCATTTCCAGAAAGGTCAGAAAGAACAGACTGTGCATGAGAACTCCTTTGCATAGAAAGTGAGGAACCTGTCTTTGGGGTAGAGAAACCACCCCAAAACTGGCCACTGCCATTAGGATCTTGGATATCCAGTGGACTGGACTGGCACAGATGGATGTGATGGATAGATGCTGAAACCATCTATCTGACTGACATCTGAGGAATGACATCTCACCTGCTGGATTGATGATGGTAGCAGGACTTCTTTTTCTCTCTAGTTCTCTTTCTTTACTGCTCTCTTTCCCTCTCTTTCCCTCTCTTTCCCCCTCTTTCTTTCTGTCTTTTCCTCATTATTTAATGTCTACCTCTTTAATTTCTCTCTTCCCTTTCACTAAGCCACCTAATCCGAAGTCCACTGCCATGTGCTTATGTAGGAGGTCTGGGACTACTATAACATATCAATTACAATTATAATTATAAATTAGTGTAGACTAAGTATGTCATATACTAATAAAATTTTCTTACTTTATTCAGACACTGAATTTTGCCATTCCTTTTGACTGTGAGGTACCTGTCTCATCTGCCTTTGACCACATGTTCTGCTC